TAGTAACTCTGCAAATAGCACATCCTGGCTGACTTTACTTAATTTACTTAGGAACTCTGCAAATAGCACATCCTGGCTGACTACTTAATAATTTACTTGGGAACTCTGCAAACAGCACATCCTGGCTGACTTTACTTAATAATTTAATTAGTAACTCTGCAAATAGCACATCCTGGCTGACTTTACTTAATAATTTAATTAGTAACTCTGCAAATAGCACATCCTGGCTGACTTTACTTAATGACGTAAGGCAAGGAAAAATGAACAAACATACTGAACACAGCAACGCAAAATTAAACATGCGACATGAGCAAAGCATCAACTGTCGGAGTAAATTAAGGTAGGCTGTTTGGGAAAAGGAATCCGTGGTAATCTGAAAGCAGGAGGCATGTTAGTGCTGAAATGTAGAGCGTAATTAAGAGGAAGGGCAAGGCATGTCGCGAGATGTCTGCAAGTACAAAATAAGAAACCTTCCATATAAAGTGTGTGAAAATCTTAATTTACATTGTCTTAGGAAGGCAAAGAACGGGATATCATTAAATATACGACGTTCCCGACGACGCTTCGACGCCGCCATCTGCTGGAGTGTACCGTGCCCCAGGCAACGTGGGGGCCACCCCCTGTCCAGGTCACCTGAATAGGGGCAAGGCATGGCACGTGATATCTGCAGGTACAAAATAAGGGTATACAATCGGCGTGCATATATAACCATTTTTACATTAAGAGAACGGAGGTGAAGCATAACATAAATATAACCAAATAAGTAACGTGAATAAACTGCAAGAGCCAAGCGTAAATACTGTAACCACTGAGGAAACTAAACTGCAATAGCTAAGCATAAACTACTGTAACTACCGATGAAACTAGGCAAAAATGCAGGGCCAGAAGACGTGAAGCTAAAATAAGGGCCCGCGAATACTGCAAATAGCACATCCTGTCTGACTTTACTTAATAATTCTTAGGAACTCTGCAAATAGCACATCCTGGCTGGCTTTACTTAATAATTTACTTAGTAACTCTGCAACTAGCACTGCCTGGCTGACTTTACTTAATAATTTACTTGGTAACTCTGCAAATAGCACATTCTGGCTGTCTTTACTTAATGACGTAAGGCAGGGTAAAAGTGGGCAAGCATACTGAACACAGCAACGCAAAATTAAACATGCGACATGAGCAACGCATCAACTGTCGGAGTAAATTAAGGAGGCTGTTTGGGAAAGAGAGTCCGAGGTAACCTGAAACAGGAGGCATGTTAGCGCTGAGATGTAGAATATAATTATGAATAGGGCAAGGCATGGCACGTGGTATCTGCAAGTACAAAATAAGGGTATACAATCGGCGTGGATATATAGCCATTTTACATTAAGAGAACGGAGGAGATGCATAACATAAATATAACCAAATAAGCGACGTGAATAAACTGCAAGAGCCAAGCGAAAGTACTGTAACTACTGAGGAAACTAGGCAAAATGCAGGGCCAGGGAACGTAAAGCAAATTAAGGGCCCGCAAATACTGCAAATAGCACCTCCTGGCTGACTTTACTTAATAAATTACTTATAACTCTGCAAATAGGACATCCTGGCTGACTTTACTTAATGACGTAAGACAAGGAAAAGTGAACAAGCATACTGTAACACAGCGAACGCGAGGATTTGAACGTGCGACATGCACAAGGCTACGAATGCCTGAGTAAAATAAGTTAGGCTGGTGGCAAAATGAATCCGAGGTGATCTGAAAGCAGAGGCATGTCAGTGCTGAAATGTAGAACATAAATATGAATAAGGGCAAGGCATGTCGCGAGATGTCTGCTAGTACAAAATAAGAAACCTTCCATATAAAGTGTGAGAAAGTCTTAATTTACAGTGTCTTAGGAAGGCAAAGAATGGGAATCATTAAATATACGACGGTCCCGACGACGCTTCGACGCCGCCATCTGCTGGAGGATACCGTGCCCCAGGCAACATGGGGGCCACCCCCCTGTCCAGGGCACGGCCCCTGGAACTGGGCGCCGAGGACTTAACGGACATAACGAAGTCATCCTGGATTGCCGGCGGCAACGCCGAACCCAGGGCCTGTGGTGCATACCGTTAGACGTAAACCTGCCGGCGTCGTCGAGCTGATCTCGGGTCCTTGCTCCAACGCCGGCGTCTCCCTCCGACGAAGAAGAACAACAGACGACACAGGCGGACGGGCAGGCGGACAAACGCTGAACTTACGACGTAGGAGGAATCCCTGCTACAACGGACGGGCAGGGCGCTTAAGACAAACACACCAGGCTACACCGGCCAGGCGGGAGCGCCTGGGAACCAACCTGCCGGCAACACCGGCCAGACGGAGGACATGGAGTAACGGTCCTGGCTACCCCCCAGGCAAGCAGGGCACGTGCCTGAGGGCCTGGACGGCGGAAAGCTTGAAATAACACACCGGGCAACACCGGCCAGACGTACGTCTGGGGACTACATGCCGGACTTACACCGGCCGACGGACGTCTGGGGACATCTTGATCGGCGCCACTCTGGGGAAGACGTACCTGGGGACTCCGGGACACCGAAGGGCCTGGGGCTAACACCCCGGGCAACACGGCCGGGCGAGACGTCCGAGGGCGACGTGCCTAGCAGAGAGCACACCACACACGGCAAGGACCCCGTGGCCTACCAACCACGCGCTGCCACACGGCATGCTCAGGGCCTAGACGAAAAGGGGAGGGGGGGGCCGCACACAGGCGCGGCCGTACGGGCGCAAGGCAGCCCGAGCCCCGACGTGGGAAGCCGTGGCGCAAAGCCACGTGGATTAGCACCCAAAAGGGAACAGGAAGGGCGGGACACAGCCCAACCGTGCGCGCCATGGAACGCCGTGCCACGTGGCAGCACGACCAGGCGTGTGCCCCGTAGCAGGCCCGGGCGGAGGGCCGGACCTGGCCACGAGTCGTCGCCAGGGGCGACGCTTGTCCGCTCAGGGAGACCCGACCCCTGGGGACATCCCAGGGAAGCCGGCAGACCGGCAACAGGGAACACCCGAGGGAAAAACAGGAAAGACGCAGAAGCACGCCCTGCCGGCCAGGCACGTGACGACCCGGCAAGGCATGCATGGGCCCCAAGGCGGGGCCCGCCATAGGGCCGCCCACGCCTGGCCACGTGTCGCCGCCGCCGAGAACATGCACCCCGGGCGTAGGACCGAACCTGGCCTCAATCCGTCGCCGACGGCGACACATGTCCTCGGACAAGGCGAAACCTGGCCCTGGGACACCCAGGGAACCCGGCGGGCCGGCGACAGGTAGCCCCGAAGGAAAGGCGGGAAGGACGCCGAGGCACGCCCAGACACGTGGTCGATGGCGGCGAGGGAAGGGCCCCAAGGCAGAGCACAAAGGGCGTAGGGCCCACCACGCCTGGCCACATGGCGACGCCGGCAAGGGCACGCCTGGCCGCCGACGGGGGCCCCGGGCAGGGCGCGCGCCTGGGCACGCCGCGCTGCGGGGCCCCTTGGACACAGACGGGCACGGCTGGATGGGGCCCCACATGAGAGGAGACCGAACGCAGGCCACTAGGGACGCGGCCCGGGGCACGCCGACCCTAAGCCAGCCACGCGACCAGCACGGCACGGGGGCGCCCGGCACAGGCCCAAGGAGGGCGCCCCAGCTCTCCGGGAACTAACAGCAGAGAACCCAAAGGACTAACTAAGGCGGCACACACGTACCGCGAGGGGATGGCGCTTGGCACACGCCGCACTGGGGAGGACCTGACTAGAATTGAACAGAAAACCTCACCTTGGGTTTAAAAGTGTAGGGCAGGAGGGCCCTGCCGGAACAGTCTGGGGTGTCGAGGGCCCCAGGATCTCCGTGAGAGAGAGGTCAGGTACCGAGGCAGCTGGCGTGTTGTCCATCTCGTGCGAAGTCGGGCGGCCGGGGAGTGGTTGCGAGGGCAGCGGCGGGGGCAGGCGGAGTGAGGGCAGAGCCCCTCTGTGCGCCCGTATTTATACGGCCCCAGACTGCCCGCGCAACGCCGCGGGACGCGCTGCGTAAATGTTTCTTTCTCCCCCATCAGAAATATCCCCGCTTGCGATCAAGCAGTGACCATTTTCATTTTCCATGAATCTGTTTCCCATTTTCAACCTCTGAATATTATCCTTTACCTGCAATTTGTTGTTTATGAATTTATAGAATAGGCCTGGTTCTCTTTTACATTTGTCCGCTATCCTTTTTTCAAAATTTCTTTCTACCACTTTCCTCACTGCAGTGTAGTAGTTTCTCACATCTTTGTATTGCTGGTATGTTTGGGGGTTTGGCCTCTTCCAATACAGTATTTGTTCCATTTTTGCGTCTTTTGTGTCTCTGGCCCTCTCGCAATTTCTATTGAACCAATCCTATTTCCTAGTTCTGCAACTCTGTTTTGGTATAAATTTTGTTGTGCCTTTATTATATAGTTCACAAAACTTGACATACATCTCATTTACTTCATGTCCTAACAACAAGTCTTTTCAATCAGATTCCTCTCTTGAAATCAGGTTTTTCAACTATTTCAACCTCCTTATTTCCTTCCAGATTATAATGCATTGCATACAGTACTTTATTCCCAAACAGACATGGTGTTTTTTACCAATGGGAGAAAGGTACTGAATGTCAAATATCTCTTCCTCTTTCCTGGTAAATATCAAATCCAGCATGGAGGGAACATCCCCTTCCCTCATCCTTGTAGCATGTTTAACATGTTGAATGAGATTTACGAATCTACAAATCCAAAAATTCTGTTCTAGATTTATATACCTCCCAGTCTATGGATTTCAAGTTGAATAGTAACTGGAAACTTTATTTGAACGAAAAGTCAGTACCAATTTGTTTAGATGTTTTTCAACAGATCAACAGTAAGGAATCTTATTCATTATGGACAAATTAAAAAAAAACTATAATTTTCATTGAGGACCATACATTAGAGCATACTTAGTCACTTATATATTAAAAGTATTGGGTTTTTTGAACCATTGGGGTTGTAAACAAACAGAACGGCCTACCCGAAAGGTGTAACATAAATAGTTGTATATGTTTGCTAATTTATTATTTGATAAATGATTATTATTAATTTACGACGACTATAGAGGTTTCCCATTAGTTAAATTACTGTGAGCGCTGGTTATTGCTGGATGATTGAGTGTGGTGAGGTTGAGTGTATGTTGGGGTTATGCGAGCTTGTTGAGGTTGAGTGTGTTCTGGCTGAATGTTGACATTGTGTGTCATTTATTTATACATAACTTTAATAACTGTTAGGCTGCAGGACAAAATCGAAATTCAAGTAAGACTGGGCTCAAGACAATTTGCTTCCTGAGAAATAATGAACGTAAGTTGTAGTTGTAAGTTTGATATTGTTATAATTGGGTGGGAAGAGAAACAAACTGGTGATCCACATGGCTTTTATTTACCGAATTATACCACACCGGGTTATCGGTGACATTTACACTGTATTCACCTAATCTAAGTAGTAATTTACAATGAACCATTTACTAAGTACCATTTACAAAAGAGCATCCGCTCGAAATATTATTCACCTAACCTAAGTAATAATTAATCCAACAAATATTAATCCAACAAATAATTAATCCTAACAGATATTAAAGTCATCAGCTGGAGAATTAAAATCAAACTGTCATACATGAGGCCATCAGGTAGGCTTCTAGTTAACCGGCAGATGACCATTCAAACTTAGGGTGTTTATGAAAGTTCCTAGACAATTAAGTACTAATTCAGACACTAAATGTTTCAGTTTACCTCAGTTTGTATTATATAATTTGAATTCACAATTACAACTTCTGTTCTGAATTATTACTCCCGAATGTGGAATTGTGTGAAAGAATTAAATTGCCTGTATTCCATTCAGGTACAAAACTATACTGTTATCAGCAAATGTGAGATAATGAAGGCAAAATTTAAATGGTACCAGTTTGATATTGTAGATTCATTAAAGAGAATACAAGAACAATTTAGCATTTCGATTTGTATGGAAATCATTTCGATCTGCATGGAAAGGCTCCTAATTCGAGATTTTATAATTTCGGTATGTTCTGCATGGTCTTATTGGTTAGGTTAGTGCCTAGGACTATGGCTAGTGCTTTTGAGATCCAGAGGGTTAAGGAAGCAGTAAAGTAGAGCAAGAGGGCAGTGTCCACATCTGGGATGGCAGTAATGGATGTGGTGGAGGAGTAGGCTATCACAGCAGCACAGCGCACAGCCTCTACCACTGGCGCCCAAAACCACCCATCATACATGGCTGACATCACACCCACTGTCACGAATATGAAGATCTGGCACGTCACAACCGCCTCCAAGGATAATATCTGGGGGACACAAATAATATATATTACTACATTACCCGACACTAATTACATAAATAACTTTGATTTACGATAAATCTAAACTAATTCTGCAAATATTCTTGTAGGGCCTCATAATGTACTTACATTATGCATCCAGCATTTCTTCGACCCATAATTTCGTTGATTATTTAAAAATATCAGAAAGCTAAAAATGGGTTGAACTTGTGGGATTAATATAATTTGCTGTAAATTCTGAATTAATTTGCTCGCCTCCCTAAGTGAAGATAGGACGGTAGTCGTATCAGACTTAGGTGCCAGGCGGATGTGTCGTGGAGTGCTCTTGAGAATGTGTGACCACATGCTAAGCAAACTGAGTAAGATCAAATAATATCACATTGCCTGTCAGAATATGGAGAAGGCGGTTTGCCTCAGCAACAGGAGAACCTCTGGGAACTCTTCTCTTACAAAGAACATCGTATGCATAATAAAAACCAAGAAAATGGAAGAAAGCTCGTGGGGAAGCACTGTCCCGTTTTCTGATTTGGTTCCTTTGGTTAGGAGAGGACACGTTAAATTAACAGTTTTCTTGGGAAACCTTAGGAGAGGCTGCTGGGAGAACCAATGGGAGACTGCTATGCGTGCAGGCCTTTTCAGGTGAGCGAGGACCAATAAAAAGAAATTATCATACAGGTAAAAAGTGAAACCGAGAGTGGGATGAGAAACGAATTGTAATGATCAATGACGGGACCGGGTCATTTGAGGTCTCAAAAGGAAAACGTCACCAGACAGATGTAGGGTGTTCCTCGGTCATACATACATAACAGATGGAACCGACGTGGCAGTGGGAAGTATTAAATTATCAGTGGGAAGTAATAAATTTACTTGAACTTTATGAGCATAGTGGAACCATAGTTGAAGTAAATGTGAATACACACAGAAATCACAATAACGTAATACATCAAACGAACAAATCTTCAAGGGACGTGATGAGGATTAGACCCAGCGCATGGGATGTTTCCAAATTCGCCTTAGTCAACTGAACATGGTCAAAAGAATTGCAACCGGGAGTGCTACTGCCACACTAGGATCCCAAATTGGGGTTTCACACAATTCCCCATGCCTCTATCACGGACTTTGTTCGTTTAAATGTCAATAATTAGCAAACAAGGTGCGTAATGAAGACAAAAACTCTGAATTAAGAGCAAATGGAGACAAGAAACTGTAAAGGCCTTACCTGGAAGTTGAAGCACATCAGCTGTTGAGCGATGAACGACAGCGCCATGTGAGTGGAGACATACATAAATTGCCACAGTGGCAGTTGGGGGTCGTACTTGGGCCTGGGAGCCTGGACGTCGGTGAAGGTGAGAGGGTCCCCTAGACGAGGTGTCCCCGGGGCCCAGCCGGGGCCGTAGAACACAGACCTCAGTGAGTCTCCCCAACTGCTCATGCTTCTTGCCTTCCGGTAAACTTCAGCGAAGTAGAAGAACTGTGCAGATAAATTTCTAATATGTAAAACAGATTTACAAAGGCCGCTTACCACAAAATGATGGCGAGTTCAAGAAAATATTGGGGAAACTCCAAGCACGGTATACATAAGAGCTATATTTATATCAGATGGATAAATTGTTATGAATTTCTGATCACCTAAAACAAAAGTGTACAGAAAAAATATTTAGAGTACTTATTTAAGTCCACTAGTTAAAAGATATTCCTCTATTGTACATAATTATGCATGTGTTCGGCAAAATGAGTAAAATTGTTGATAACATACTTGATGCCAGAGAACGTTATGTGTCTGGGGCTGCTGTGTCAAGCCGTAGACTATCTCCTCCTGGTCTCTCTCTCCCTCAAAGGTGCCAAAGATGCGGTCCCAGATGATTAACACACTGGCGTAGTTTTTATCCAGGCACCACTTGTTAGCTCCTGGATATAAACAATTAGTCTGTTAAAGTATTATGCTAAACATAAATCTTTCAGATAAAATGATTCTACTAATATCTCATTAGTTACAAACGAACAAAAGGTTTGGAGGCATAAAAAAGTAGACGCATTGCACCAGACCTACCATGATGGACGCGGTGATGGGAAGGTGTCATGAAAATCCAGCCTATTGGTCCGAGGCTGCCAATGTACTCTGTATGCACCCAAATCTGGAACACATAATTTAAAGCAATGTGGACAACGACAGAGGGTAGCGGAAATCCTAGTAGAGCCAGAGGTTGGTAGCAACACATATTGGCGGGTCGCTGGAACATTGATATGCGTGTCGCCGTGGCAAAGTCGAAGTCTTCAGAAGAGTGGTGGACCTGATGTATTGCCCAAAGGACATTCAGTTCTGAAAGTGGAGAAACAAATTCACACTATCTTTACATAGATATAGCATAGAAAAAGCACACTATCTTTACATAGATAATTGACCAAGATAACAGTTAACGTTTTACATACCATGGTTAGCTCTGTGGATCCAATAGTAGCAGAAGTCAACGAATATGAAGGCGCCAAACCAGGTATAAGGCGAGTCCCAGGGTAGTTCCCACAGGCGGTACTGGTAGAGCATCTGGTAGCTTGCCACACCAAACGATGCAGTCACTAATCTGAAAGCACAGACGTGAAATTAATTTTCTTCGAAGTTAAGTACTCATGTACTTAACAGTACATGAGTAATAATATGTATGTTGAACATACATATTATTACTATTTAGAACCTTTAAGCCTCCCTCCGAACGCAACACAGTGCGTTCCCTCCCTTACCCTGCAGACTCGTGAAGGATGCCAATTCCAAAAGACGAGAAAACTTGGTTGACTCTGGCAGGGCGGCCCATCAGGTAGCGCGCTATCACCTCCGCAAAGACAATCGTTACGACCAGTGGAACTGCCTGAAATACACAGATTTATTATAGCTGTCTTATGTTAATATACTAAATTCACATCTTAGCTGACATTTAGATGCGAACTTACATGCAGAAATATTACCTAATTATTTAATATAATAGAGGACACGATTATGTAGTTGATTTAGTCAATATGATGCAAATGTTAACAATAAAGGTACCTCTTGAACGTATTCGGGGACTTCTTCAATATGCCTGAAGGTTGACCTGCTCGGGTGGACCAAGTACAGCATCCTAGCCATTCGCTCAATCAGGAACCACCCCATCGCTGTTGCACACAAAAGCGAAACGTTAACTCGGAAATTGTGAAACGTTATTAAATATATAATATATACATAAATAATACTAATTCTGTTAATACACATTTTTTTATAAATATATTTTTCAAAAGATAAAATGTGTTAAGCCTATACCAAGGAAAAAGTTGGATATGTTCAAGATGAAAATTGAGATAATATTAACATATAACAGTGTGTAAAAAGTGTGCATTTAAAATAAACAAATAAAAGGTCGAATAATTAATTGTGGTGCTTACTGGTGAAGTTGTGTGCCGCCATGGGCCACTGTGGAGGACACTGGTGCTTCTACACTCAGCAGTTGGTCATCAACTGAGACAACGACGTTGTGTGCTGCTTTAGATTTAGCTACTCAGAACGAAGTGTCCATGTAGCACGGGCTATGGTGAGCCTTTGTGAGAGAGACGCCAGTTTCTCCCTACTTTAAACACACTAGGTCAGGTGGGTGGTGGTTTGACACCGATTTCATTGTCTGGACTAGGAAGCCTATTAAGCTTAACACAAGAATCAAGGAAAGTGCAGAGGGCCTATTAGCCCATACGTGGCAGCTCCTATATATATCTACACAAACTCATTAGAGTACTAATTTAACAATGAAAGAATGATTGAAATTTTAGGCCTATTGGTTCATTCGATGAATTGAAAGAATTTCATCAGGCAATGGGATGTAGTCATTGCGCAAATTCGCCTTGGCTATAGACACATCTGGCAGGTTAGTGAGGCTGAGCCACTACCAGAATACTCAAATTGTAAACTCTGTGATAAACCTTTAATGCATTCACTAGAACACTATGTTGCTGAAAGCGAAACCGTAAAAGACTTTAGACCTCATGGCCTATTGTACCACCAACTGTGTAAATGTTTCATTGACTCAGGTGTTTTGGTCGACATGCTAACATTTTATACAAAACTTGCTTATCCATTTTATAGAATGAAGAACAATTTTATATATATTACTTCTAAGCTGCATCACGTATGAACCCATCCCTGTCCTTGTGTGGCAGTGCATAATAGAAAGCTGTTTTCACATATTCATACATTAACTAAAACATTGATTGTAACCATGATATGTGCTTCAGAATACAGTTTAGATTTATTGTCTTGCGTATGACCCTCTGTCCTGCGTGACAGTGAATACCAGCATTATCCTCACTTTAATAAGAATTAATTGAAGTCCTCAGTTTAGGCAAAATTGTAATTCATTTTGTAAAAAAAAAATGTTAATAATAATAATCAAAAAATGTATGTATGTATGTATGTATGTATGTATGTATGTATGTATGTATGTATGTATGTATGTATGTATGTATGTATGTATGTATGTATGTATGTATGTATGTATGTATGTATAAGAACTTAAGAACAAAGGTAACTGCAGAAGGCCTATTGGCCCATACGAGGCAGCTCCTATTTATAACAATCCAATCCCACTGACATACAAGTCCAACTCACGTTTAAAACAACCGAGGGACCCCACCTCCTCCATGTTACGCGATAATTGATTCCACAAATCAACAACCCTGTTACTAAATCAGTATTTACCCAAGTCTTTCCTAAATCGTTGTTGTTGTTAAAGATTTTGCTATTCAGGACGAAGTGTCCATGTAGCACGGGCTATGGTGAGCCCGTAATTGAGTTTGGTTATACATGATAACCTTTTTCCTGTGATATTTAGGTCTAAGTTTAAAATGGAGGAGAGGACTTTTCCATTCTCCCTGCTTATTTGTCGCTTCTGTTTTATTGCACTGGTTTTAATCTTGTTTTATTAACATTATCTTGGTGGCGGATGTAGATGCAGATATGCTCACTAATGAGTCCCAAACCTCAACAGCTTTTCTAATCATTGTAGTCGCGGTGGAATGTGCATCTAATGCAGCTGCTGTCGTTGGATTAATGTTGAGTTTGATGCGCAGTGGTTCAGTAGCTTCACATTCCAGTAAGTAGTGCAATAGTGGCGTCTCTGCCTCAGTTTCACAGATGTGACACTCTTTAACTATTGGGTTCATTACCTCCCAGCAGCACTTGTACCCAAGTCTGAGTCTGTGTATGGCTACTGCAATGTCTCTGGATATTTTTTGCCAAGCTTGAAAGAGGAGTAACCAGTGGCTTGTTCATACCATATCGCAGTGGATCTTCCTTCCGCTACTTTGGCTCTGTGGCGACTTTTGATATTTTTTTATATTTTGATAATTCCTAAATCTAAACTTATCCAATTTATACCCATTGTTTCGTGTTCTGTCTTGTGTTCATACTTTTAATACCATAAGAACAAGGCAACTGCAGAAGGCCTTTTGGCCCTTACGAGGCAGGTACTATTTATAACCAGCCAATCCCACTCATACATGTCCAACCCAAGTTTGACACAATCGTTTTGGTCCCAATCGAGGGACCAAAACTCCACCACGTTACGTGGTAATTGGTTCCACAAATCAACAACCCTGTTACCGAACCAGTATTTACTCAAGTCTTTCCTAAATCTAAATTTATCCAATTTATACCCATTGTTTTGTGTTCTGTCTTGTGTTAATTCTTTTAATACCCTATTAATATTCCCTTTGTTATGTCCATTCATCCACTGATAAATCTCTATAATGTCACCCCTAACTCTTCGCCTTCCAAGCGAATACAATTTAAGCTTTGTTAATCTTTCTTCATATAAAAGATTTCTAAATTGGAGAATTAACTTTGTCATCGTATGTTGGACACTTTCATAAAAGCATAAGAACATAAGAACAAAGGTAACTGCAGAAGGCCTATTGGCCCATACGAGGCAGCTCCTATTTATAACCACCCAATCCCACTCATATACTTGTCCAACCCGCGCTTGAGACAATCGAGGGACCCCACCTCCACCACGTTACGCGGCAATTGGTTCCACAAATCAACAACCCTGTTACTGAACCAGTATTTACCCAAGTCTTTCCTTAATCTAAACTTATCCAATTTATACCCATTGTTTCGTGTTCTGTCTTGTGTTGATACTTTTAATACCCTATTAATATCCCCTTTGTTATGTCCATTCATCCACTTGTAAACCTCTATCATGTCACCCCTAACTCTTCAACTTTCCAGTGAATGCAACTTAAGCTTTGTTAATCTTTCTTCATATGAAAGATTTCTAATTTGGGGAATTAACTTAGTCATCCTACGTTGGACACGTTCAAGTGAATTTATATCCATTCTATAATACGGCGACCAAAACTTAAGAACATAAGAACATAAGAACAAAGGTAACTGCAGAAGGCCTATTGGCCCATACGAGGCAGCTCCTATTCTATAACCACCCAATCCCACTCATATACTTGTCCAACCCGTGCTTGAAACAATCGAGGGACCCCACCTCCACAATGTTACGCGGCAATTGGTTCCACAAATCAACAACCCTGTTACTGAACCAGTATTTACCCAAGTCTTTCCTAAATCTAAACTTATCCAATTTATATCCATTGTTTCGTGTTCTGTCCTGTGTTGATACTTTTAATACCCTATTAATATCCCCCCGGTTATGTCCATTCATCCACTTGTAAACCTCTATCATGTCACCCCTAACTCTTCGCCTTTCCAGTGAATGCAACTTAAGCTTTGTTAATCTTTCTTCATATGAAAGATTTCTAATTTGGGGAATTAACTTAGTCATCCTACGCTGGACACGTTCAAGTGAATTTATATCCATTCTATAATATGGCGACCAAAACTGAACTGCATAATCTAAATGGGGCCTAACTAGAGCAAGATATAGCTTGAGAACCACACCAGGTGTCTTGTTACTAACGCTGCGATTAATAAATCCAAGTGTCCGATTTGCCTTATTACGAACATTTATGCATTGATCCTTTTGTTTTAAATTCTTACTAATCATAACTCCCAGATCCCTTTCGCAATCCGACTTCGCAATCACAACACCATCTAGCTCGTATCTTGTAACTCTATCATCATTACCTAACCTCAGAACTTTACATTTATCAGCATTAAACTGCATCTGCCAATCCTTTGACCATTTCAAAACCCTATCTAGATCAACTTGAAGTGATAGTGAGTCCTCCTCCGAATTAATTTCCCTACCGATTTTCGTATCATCGGCAAATTTGCAAATGTTGCTACTCAAACCTGAATCTAAATCATTTATATATATTATAAACAACAGAGGTCCCAGGACAGAGCCTTGAGGCACTCCACTTACAACATTTTCCCACTCTGACTTGATTCCATTTATACTAACTCTCTGTTTCCTTTGGTATAGCCATGCCCTAATCCAGCTTAATATAGCACCCCCAATACCATGAGACTCTATTTTTTTAATCAGTCTTTCATGTGGCACTGTATCAAAAGCTTTGCTAAAGTCAAGGTATACAACATCGCAATCCTTACCACTATCAACTGCCTCAACAATGCTAGAATAAAAAGATAACAAATTTGTTAAACATGAACGGCCATTTATAAAACCATGTTGCGACTCAATTATTAATTTATGTTTTTCAAGATGAAGACGAATTTTATTTGCTATTATAGATTCGAGTAACTTTCCCACAATAGACGTTAGGCTAATTGGTCGATAGTTAGACGCAAGTGATCTATCTCCTTTCTTAAAAACTGGTATCACATTAGCAACTTTCCAAAACTCTGGCACTCTGCCTGACTCTATTGATTTATTAAATATGGTTGACAGTGGGTCACAAAGCTCCTCTTTGCATTCTTTAAGCACCCTAGCAAACACTTCATCCGGCCCTGGGGATTTGTTTGGTTTGAGTTTTACTATTTGTTTAAGAACATCCTCACAGTGAGAGGTTGTGTTAACCGGAGCTCCTGAGTGTTGTTATAGCAATATGGAAGTTGTAGTGAAGGACCTGGTGACTCTAGTGGGAGCCCTGAGGACAGAGTTGGACTCTCTGCGGGAGGAGGTGCGTCAGCTTAAAAAACTACGAGAAGTAACGAAGGAGGAGACCAGCAGTAAAGGGACCTCGTCTTGGAGA